TTTGGTAAGCTGACGAGCACTCCACACGTGCCCATTTAGTTCTTCTAGCATGTCGATAAACAGAGAAGAGTCGGGACGCTTACGCTGCTTTTTCTTACTAGTGATCCACTCATTCGAGTAAGGATATTGACCAGGAGCAGGCCGAATGAAGAAATACTTCTTCTTCCATTCGGTAATATTGGAAGAGAGGTCGTCAAGAAAAGTAACCCCTACTCGACGACCCAAACAATGGGCGTCTTTGCTAAATCTATATCCATAACAATAAAGGAAAAATTCGGGTAAAAAATAACCTAGGACTATGCGAGTAACGACTATAAAGGCTACCATTATTCGGATAGAATTGGGGGTGAACTGGTTTATTGGTACATCAAAAAGGTCACTTAATGACTTCAGTTCAGGCTGAATCGGGAAGCGCAGACCCGACATTATTTGGTCCACGAAAAAGGTATAACAGCCCTTCGGAGGATGACGAAAGTCGTCTTCGGGCTTAGGAGCAACTACAGCCCAATCTACGGGAAGGCCGCTGAACTCCCTGAGCCATCGATTTCGGCTGCAGGAGCATAAAGAAAATGATAGTAAGAACTATGGAACATGCTAATAGTTGCAGACTCGATTAAGGAAAGTCGTGATAAAGGAGCAAGGCAGGCCACATACAGAGGGGTGTTCGAGAGAATCTAACGGAAAATACCTCGAGGAGCCGAGTCTGGGTAGGAAGTTTCAAGGATGTTGAGAACTTCGGGATCCTCACAAAGGGTGCCCGAAAGCAGCGCCTAGTTATACACCGCCCAGTCGATGCCAAAAGGTGAGTCGGGCGGGTGGATAAAATCCTCCGGCTCGACATTGTTCAGATGAACAGATTCCGAATCTGAGTAGTTATCGATCTCATGGGCAAGAGAACCGGAGATGGGATCAGAAACAGGGTCGAGGTCGAAATCTAAGAGGAATAAAGGATGGCAATCAAGAAAGGTGGTCAGAAGTCACGATTCGATTTAAAGAAAAGGTTCAACAAAATAACCAGGATGACATAAACAGTGTCCCGACAATGGGGAAGAAGAGAGAAGAAACGGGGAAAATCTTACCCACGACGATTCGACTCGACAAGGGAAGATCGAGACAAAAAAAACCGATCTCCCACAACGAAATGACTAACAGAGAAAAACACTTGGGGAAAATACAAAACCTACAATCAAAGATCTAAACGGAAAAGTCGCCAGAAAATTCACACGCAATCCTCAGAAAATGAA